GTTTCTGGTCGCCCGCTCCCAGGACTCTTGCCGACTCCCGGGGAAAAGTTGTTTGTGCTTGGAAGGAATTTGCCAGAGTCAAGGCCATGTCCGAAGGGGCTGGGCCATGTCCTCCTCCTCCCAGCAGCGCCCAGAGCATGGAGCCTGCCTCCCGCCCCGTACCCCCGCTCTGGCTCTTACCAGTGCAGCAGGCGAGAGACTGGTACCTCGGCGGGGCATCGGCACTTACACTACACCAGCCCCTCAGACGAGCCCAACGCCCGTCTACTGGGATGGCGGAAGAAACAGTTCCCCTGTTAAAGGATAGCTTGGCCCCATTCCTCCCCTCCCGCCCTCTGTCCCGAGGGGAGAAAGAAGCTCTTGGCCTGGACCCTGCTGTACCCCTGTGTCCCACCTGGCCCACGGGCTCTCCCTGGAGTCCCCTTTGTTCCCCAAAGCCTGCCCTGCCGCCAAGACTGGGTCGCCTGAGGGAGTCGAGCCCGGGTGGCTTTCAGGTTTGGTGTGATCCAGGGCGCCTCTGCTTCTGCTGGGGAAGCCCTCCCCTGGGCCTCCCCCCAGCCAGACCTCCCCTCCCCATCCCCTGGGCCTCCCCCCAGCCAGACCTCCCCTCCCCCTCCCCTAGACCTCTCCCACCCCTCTGTCCCTCCCCTCCCTTAAGCCCCCCTCCCCCGCCAGCCCAGCCCTCCCCTCCCCTCCCCTCAGCCTCCCCACCTCTAGTCGCTCTGGAGTCCAAGCACTAGAAGCCTCTGCATCACAGGCTGGCCCCTTCGGCTGGCCCCCGCGGCATGTGCTGGCGGCTGTCTGGAGGGCAGTACCGCCTGGCTTTGGGGTGCTGATTCTGGGGTCCAAATGCCCCCTGGCCCTGTTCGGGTACAGGCACCTTTCCTGACCTCCTGGTTGTCTGGAACTCCGTGGCTGTGATTGGGTGGGTGCTGCTACTCAGCCCTGGCCTCAGGGAAGCCCCTCGGCTGTGGGGGTGTGGGGGGGAGGGCTAGGGTAGGGTGCCCGTGCCAGAGCTCGCGCTGAAGCGCCAAGTGGAGCATTGGCACCTCCAGGTCCGTCTGGTGAAGGCTGTGCACGATGGAGCCCCTTTCTAGAAAGCCCTCGCTGACCCCTGACCCTCAGGCTGGCTGCGGGCAGGGGATAGGCCCGTGCTGCAGGGTCTGGACTGGAGGGACCGCTCCTTCCCCCAGCTCGCCCGCCCTTCCTGCCGGAGGAGAATGGAGGGGCAGGGTGAGAGTTGGAAAGTGTGGTCCTTCTCGACCCAGAGCACAGCTCTCCTCGGGCCATGGGCTTGGCCAGTCCTGCACAAAACAGGCGCTTCCCGGCTCTTTGCCAAGGGCCGTGTTCTTGCCGGTCCTCCACCGTCTGATGCTGAGACCCAGTGATGCCGTGGCTCCCCTCTCCACGGCAGCCGTGACTGTTACTGTCTGCATCTGGAGCAGGGTAAAATCCAAGTGCCAGAATCTCCTAACCATTAGGAAAAATAAATCCTAGGTGCAGATTTAAAAAAAAAAAATCTCTCTGCAGTCGTAATCAGGAGAGGAGGATCATTTCCCAGACTCAGTGGTGGGGCCTCCCCTGTCTCCCCCCCCCCCCACCCCGTGCACATCTGTGTGGGGGGGGCACGTGCATGGCGCGCGTCATTTCCACTTGCCTTTATTTATTGTTTCCCAGCAGCAGCTGGGCAGGTCACCTTGCACGCTGCAGAAAAACAGCCCTTCATTTGGCACGCGGCATCCACTGATATTAATGTCCCCCTCGCCCCCCGCCCTGGGCTGTTGTGGGGCTGGGATGAGAGGCAGGTGGAAGAGGCCAGGGCAGCTCAGAGCTGGAGACGGATGCTGGGCGACCTGCCTCTTCCATCCTTGGTGAGGACTGGCAGCGTCACCCTGCACCCTGAGGGGGCTGGGGGCTGGGGCTCCGCTCCGAGTGAGGGGAGGACCAGCCATCGGAGAGCCGACCCACATAATCCGAGCTCACGCTCCTTCCTCAGGAAAGAAGCAGGTTATTTTCCAACGTAATGAATAAAGAAGCTTCTAATTAACTCCAGTGGAGAGATTCGGTTCCAGATTTTAATACTCAAGTTCTAGTTTCGTTTTTTTATTATTAACACTTTGTTGCTATGGCCTTCCTTTTTCCTTTTTCTCCCCCTAATTGTTTGTCCCCGGCGTAGCAGCGTTTGAGAAGTGCAAAGCCAAGCCCAGCGGTGATTCAGCTTCTCATGGAAACGGAAGAAACGGTCCCCCACCCACCCCAGCCCCAGGGGCTCCTGTGGGACCCAGTGACTGATGGTGAGACTGACTGGCCACGGGCACTCGTCCGCAGGAGTGTGGCTGGCCAGCACCAAAGGGCTGCGGCCAGAGGGGGCCTTGCGCCCGCCTGCTCTGCGTCCGCCCCCCACCCCCTGCTTTTCGATCTCAGGGCCTCTTATCGCCACTGGCCTGGCCTTCCCTGGGCGTTGGTGCCTTGAGCGCCCCGTCTGTGGGCAGCTCTCACTGCCACCGCTCGTGCCCTCCTGGCACCCAAGCCTTCCTGGGCTCGTCCCCCAGCTCCTCCCCACCTTGGGGAGGCTGTCAGGAGGTTCCTTCTCTGATGACTTAACACCCCAGACCGCAGAGCCTGACCCAGGGCTCTTTTCTTGGTTTTTTGTTTGTTTGTTTGGTTGGTTGGTTGGTTTTGGATCACACCCAGCGAAGCTCAGGGGTCACTCCTGGCTCTGCACTCGGGAATTACTCCTGACGGTGCTCCGGGGGACCCTATGGGATGCTGGGAATCGACCCTAGGTCGGCCGCATGCAAGGCAAACGCTGTCCCCGCTGACCAGTGACCCTGACCCCATTTTGTTTTGGTTTTGTTTGGGGGCCACACTCAGCCGCGTTCGACTTCCTCGCTCCTGGCAATGGGAACCAGGGATCAAACCCCGGTGAGCTGTGAGCCAGCAAGTACCTTACCACTGTGCTAGCTCTCCAGCCTCATCTTTTGGGTGGATTAATGCATTTATCTTACCAGAGCAGGTCATGTTCACAGCAAAATTGAGCGAAAAGTACAGCGTTCTGGGGCTGGAGAGATGGTCTGGGGGTTAAGGGCTTGCTTTGCAAGTGGCGGGCTCTGGTTTAGCCCCGGCACCACGTATGGTTCCTCGGACACTGCCAGGGGTCACGTCTGAGCCAGGAATAGCACGTGAGCACCACCAGGTGTGCCTCCCTCCCCCACGGCCAGAGGAGAGTGGAGTAGAGAAGTGCAGAGTCGAGCAGACAGTGGAGCCCCCCACCCCCCTCCCGTTCCCCTATCCCCACACATACACTGTCCTTCTGGCAAAGTCCCACAGCACGTTGGTGCATTTTCCTGGACCCCCTTCCAACCCTAAATCTTAAGGTTTTTGTCCAGAGGCAAATCAGGCAAATCAAAAAAGAAGGCAGGCAGGCATGCGGTCCCTTTCAGCTCTGTCGTCTGTCCCGGGGGTGACTGTCAGTCCATCCCCAGGGCAGCTGGTGGTGGGCTTGGATTGGACAGGCAGCACTGGTCAGCGACCCGGTCCCGGGGGGGCACGCTGACGTGTCGGGCATCACAGGGGCCGGGCGCCGCCTTGAGAGTCTAGTGCCCAGGCTTAGTCCCTGGCACCAAGTGCCCCCTTATTCCCCGAGCCCTGCACCCCCAAGTAGACTGTCTGCCCGTCCCCAGTACCGCATGGTCCTGGGCCACTGCTGGGTTCCCCCTCAGCTCTGCCTGTTCAAACCAAAGCCAGAGCGTGGGGTCATGCCCAGTCCTGGATGCAAGGGCAGGGAGAAGGCGGCAGGGGGGAGCTGGACGGGAGCCCCTCCTTCCTAACCCTTGGCGTGCTCACCCCAAGTTGGGTCATTCCAGGGGTTCATCTTTGGACCTTTGCTCTTTTTTCTCTTTTTTTGAGTCGCTCAGGGGTTCCTGTTGGCTCTGCACGCAGGAATCACTCCTGGTGGTGCTGGGGGCCCATCTGGGATGCCGGGGATCGACCCAGGCTGGCTGCATGCAAGGCAGACGCCCTTCCCACTGTGCTATCGCTCCAGCCAGGTGGCCCTTGCCCTCCCCCCTTGTTCTCACTTCCTGGAAAGAGGTTCGGCCCTTTGTGGTTTGTGCGGCTTCAGCTTCGCTGATGTGAGCCTCACCTGTGGCTTCCCAAGGGGGAGGTCTCTCCTGAGACGCCCGCCTCTAGGCACGCTTCCCCTCACCTTCATGCTCTGACTCTGGAGCACCTCTGGGTTGCATCCTGGGTCGCCGTGGCATCAGCCCCACCAGGGACGTCGGGCAGTCTGGGAGACCAGCCAGCGAGAGGCGACTCTCGTTTCCTGTTCTGAACCCTGGTCATCCAATAACTTCCCATCACGGAATCCTTTTTATCACCGCCACTTCCATAAAACCGCGAAAGCTGCGTCTGGGATAGCATATTTAAACATCCTGATGCGGCTCCGTGGGATTTATGCATGCCTTCCTCTGGTAGTCCTCCAATGTTAAGAGAAAAGCAACAATTCTCTCGGAAATTGCCCATTATGTGGAATGTGGGTGATTACCACTAAATTACATCGGCACCATCACCTCTGTGCCGGAAGGGGGCGTGGGGGGCACTGCCGGTTGTGTGTGAGTGTGGAGAGGAAGGAATTTTTTTTTTTTTGTGAAAGGCGTTTTCTGTAATTCCAACCAATTTAATAAAAATGTAATCTGGCTGGGAAAACGCAGTCTGCCAGCCCTCGAAGAGTCCAGCTAATGTTCCAGATTAAAGAACCCTGGCTTTTTGTTTGTCACAGTCAAATAGCGCCAGTGTGTGAATCACCATTTCCTGGCCGTGCGTCTCTTGCAAGAGTGTGCCATCTCCCCATTATAATAATAGGCTACATTTTCTTAAAATCATTTGATTATGATTGGCCCCGTCTATTCAGTTTGCAAATAAAAAAGCTTTTCTCTCGGGGGTAGACTGGTTGTTTCAAAACAGCCTTAATTTCTGGTTCTGCCTTTGAACTGCTACAGGTCAGACCCTACGAAAGGCTGAGAGAAGCCGGTCGTGTTCCCGGGAGAAGAAGGAGGTAAAGGGGGTCCCTGGCGGGCTGGGGGTACCTCTCGGTAGGGCTTGGGGCAGCCGCCTGGTGACTCAGGGTCCTGAGTCCCCAGCTTGAACCCTAGACCTGTGGTTTCACTTGCGTCATCACCTGGACTGGCTGGTTTGCTCCGTCTGGGTCACCCCCACACTCGCGCCACTTGAAACCCGCGTGAGCCAAGTTTGTGATTCCGAGGGTCAGCACCGGGCTGCCGCGGGGTCAGGCTGGGTCCCTCTCCCGGACGCTCCCCGTAGCATTCGCTGTAAACACCGGGGTCCCCCATGGAGGGGTCTCGAGGCCTCCTGCGTTCTCCCGCGAGTGTCTGAGTGCCCGGGCAGGCCGGAGGGCGTGAGCCAGGGCGAGCGTGTGCCCTGGCTCCTTGTGCCGTTCACCTGAGCCCGCACTGCCCGCTCTCTGGCCTCCCTGGGGCTCGAGAAGCAGGCCTCGTGTCCTCATGGAAAGAGCCAGAAACTGCCTGGACCATTCTCGAACCCTCCTGCCAGGACCCCTCCTGCTGGGTGCCAGGAGGTAGGGCTGGGAAGAGGCCGGTGAGACCCCGTCCAGGGCAGAGACGGGGGTTTCCATCCCGGGCAGCTGCCCTCTGGGAGGACAGAGGGACCTTCCCGGGCCCCGTCAGCCGTGGCAAGTTGCGAGCTGGTGGAGCCCAGGAGGACGGCGGGGGCAGGGACCCCGACCCCTGCGGGGGCCTTGGGCCAGGAGTCTTGTGCGGAAGGCCGTCGTTTGTTTTGGTTTGTCCTTAGCTCTCTCGTCCTCTTTTCCTGCCGTCGAAACAGGGAGAGGAGAGCGAAAAAGAAAATGAAGTGGCAGCATTTGGGAAGTGTGGGGAGGGGACGGGATGCAGCCGGGCAACAAGTGGGTGCCACTTAGGATCCAGGAACACCCGCAGTTTAAATCTGAGTTTGATGGGGCAGGCGACTGCAGACGTGGCCCGTTTGGGGGAAAAGCACCGACGTTCACACACTGACGTCATCTGTACTTGTGGCACGGCTCCAAGACCAGGGAACTCTCGTCTCAACCACAGCCCCGGGCGTGGTCTTCCTTAGGGCTTAGGGCTGTCCAGGGCTCCTGCCCCCTTTCCTGCTGCCACTGAGGGGGAGGGGGGCCTCTTCCTGTGCAGCCCACCCCCTTTAACCCATCTGGGCCTTTCTGAGGGATGCAGCGGCAGAGCTGGGAAGCCCCTGCGGTGGGTGGTGGGTGGGGTGGGTGGGGTCCTTCTTTCCTGGAGGGAGCTCTCGAGGGGTGGGGCAGGGCGGAGGCTGGAGCAGGTGTCCCGGGGTCGGGTTCCTGCCCAAAGGGCTGACCGGTGCAGTGGCTAGGGTGAGCCTAAGTGACAGAGTGGGGGACCAGCCCGGAGGGAATTCTTGAAACAAAGGGAACCCTTTTTCACTCACCCCATCTATTTGTGCTAAGAGATTCCCTGGGAAGCCTGGAGCAAGGAGGTCCGCATTCATTCCTCCCCGCCTCTCTGTGGCTACTGGGCTCCCCTAATTGCACTTTCCTGCCCCCCTCCAGCCTTCCCTTCCCCGGAGCTTTCCACCTGGAGCTTCTGAAAGGGCTCAAGGTGACAACGACAGGAGGGGCGCCTTTGCCAGCGTGGGTGTCTGTGTCCCAGCAACGTACTGAGGGTGGCTTCTCAGCCTCTGGAAATGCCGTTCGACTCATAGCCAGGCTTGGTTTGCTGAGAAAGATCAGAGAGAGGGTGGGGGGGCGGGGGGCGGGGGTGGACCACGGCCATAGGACAGCGGGGAGGGTGTTTGCCTGGTCCCCTGAGCACCGAGCCAGGAGTAAGCCATGAGCACAGCGGGGTGTGGCCCCCAAGCAGAAATCTAAAAGAAAAAGGCCAGAGAGAGAAAGAGGGGGGTGGAGAGGGAGGGGGGGAAAGGGTGGGGGTCAGGGAGAGGGAGAGGAAGGAAGGAAGGAGGAGGGAGGAGGAGGGAGGGGAGGGAGAGGGAGGGAGAGGAAGGGAGAGGTGGCAGGCCAGAGAGTGGGAGAGGAGTCGCCCCGTGTCCCTGGGTCTGTGTGGTCACATCCTGCATCTGACTTCCAGACCCGACCCCAGTTCCCCTCCCGCTGGTCCAGTATGAGAGGTGGGCGGAGGCTAGTTAGAACCGGGCGGCGGCTGTCCTGTCCCACCCCACCCGGACCTGTCCTGTGCTGGCCATGCATGGCGCTGCAGAGGACGCGGCGCTGTCCAGCCCGCCTGGGGACCGGCCACTCCTCCTTGTGGTCAGGCCAAGGGAGGCTTCGAGGCTGTTCCAGATTCAGGCCACCAGGTGTTCCGTGAACTCTGCTTCTTGACTTGGGGCGCTGTCCTTGTCGTGTTTGGAAGCCCTCCTGATTGGCGCCCTGGGCTCACTCCCAGCCTGCGCCTCCTCCTGGCACCAAAGCCATGGGCGATCAGACCCGAGCCCTGTTGCAGTGTTTTGAAATTAGGTGTCTCTGATAAAAATGTGGGGGTCTTGGAGACTGGAGCAGTAGTACAGCAGGTAGAGCACTTGCCTTGCACACAACCGGCCTGGGGATTCCCAGGGTCCCTGATGGTCTCCCAAGCCCCCGCCAGGAGTGACCCCTGGGGCACTCGAGTATCACCAAGTGTGGCCCACAAACAAACAGAAAACAATAAAAATGAAGGATTCCTCCTCTCCCTGGGACCTTGCGTGTGGCTCCTCTTTCTCGGGGGCCCAGGGTCAGCAGAGGGAGTGTTTGGCGACCCTTCACGAACACTCTGCACGAACAGTGCTGCACACTGGAATCACTCAGGGCTTCGAGTCCCCAAAGCCGTTTGGTGAGGATCCCCTTGGCGCCGAAATCTCTGCTTCTCCTGCCCCCACTGGCCCGCACACGGGAGCCCCTGCTCAGCTCCCGGCCTGGTCGCCCCACGCTCCCGCAGGCAGAGACAGATGGACCAAGACAGACAGACAGCCACAGCCATGACGGGGAGTAGGGGTTGGGGAGGAGACGGAAGACGCCGGGAAGAGGCGGTTTGGACAGCGGCTGGGGTGGGTTCGAGCTGTTTCCAGGAACGGCTCCTGTGGTGCCTGGCTGGAGTCAGCTCTGCTCTCGGCTGCGCGTGGAATCATTCTCGTCCCTAACAAGTACTCGCGGCTCCTGCCGGTGGAGATTATAGAGTGTTTATGGCCCTTGGTCATGAATTATTAATGATTCTGAAATTGTGGTCATTGCAGTTTACTCAAAAATCATTAGGAAGTATATTTATCATACAGTGCGTTTTTTAAAAACGGGGCGGGGGTAACTCCAGAGGAAGAGATAATTAATTACTCATCACCCTGCCAGCGCCCACCCTGTGGCCAAGGCAGGGGGCTCAGGGCATGGCCCAGGGACAGCGACTGGGGCCCTGCAGGTCACTAGGCCCCGCCCCCTCTCAAATGGTTGGTCGCCTGTATCCCTTGTTTAGTGGAGGAGGGGTTCGGACCCCAAGGGACACGGCAGCGACACAGTCCTCTGTCCTGGAGGGGTCCCCCTTGGTCCATCTGAACCTGAGGCGGCTTCGCCTGCCCCTCCCCTGGCCGTGCCCCAGGCAGGCGAGCTGGGGTGTGTGTGTGGGGGGGGGGCGTGATAGACTCCGAGAGCCTCCTGTGATAATGGAGCGCCTTTTTTCCCAGCTGATTGGAGATTCAAAAAAAAAAATGCTCTTAACAGCACACTCATCTGCTGAGCTCACTTTGTAAAGGACCACAGAAGTCATTTAGCTCAGCCACGGAGAAAATGCCAACCTCCCTTAGCATCTGCACGCGCGCACACACACACACACACACACTCTTATACACACACATACACACTCACACATGCACTCACACATGCACTCACACACACACCCTCACACACATACACACACATGCACACATGCAGGGGCTGAAACCATAGTACAACAGGAAGGGCATTTGCCTTGCACACGGCCGACCCAGGTTCGATTCCCAGCATCCCATATGGTCCCCTGAGCACCGCCAGGGGTGATTCCTGAGTGCAGAGCCAGGAGTGATCCCTGTGCATTGCCGGGTGTGACCCAAAAAGGAAAAAAAACATGCACACATGCAGACTCATATGCTCACACACATGCACGCAGTCGCTCGCTCACACACACACTGACGCACATGCTCACACACGCTTACACATGCTCACACACATTTACACATGCACACACATGCGTACAGGCACATGCTCACACACTCACACGCTCACATATGCTTACACACACGCACACACATGCTCTCACACGCTTCCACATGCTCACAGACATGCTCACACAGGCACACTCACACATGCACACACTCACGCTGACACACTCGCTCAAATGTGCTCCCACCTGCTCACGCTGTCTCTGTTTGGCACGGCCTCTGGGTGCGAGCACTGCAGACTCCTTCAGTTCTGCCCCGCCGGGGAGCTGAGACAGGAGTCGGGTCCGGGCGCCCTCCGGTCCCTGCTCACCCTTTCGGGCCTCCCCTTCACCGGCTCGGCCTCCCCCTGGTCCCAGGCCAGAGTGGTCCCTGCACCCCAGTCAGAGCCTGCACTGGGGGTGCGGTGTCCGGCACTCTTCCGAGAGGCAAGCCCTGTTCTGGTTTCCTTTGTCATTGTTGTTTTGGTGCTCCAGTCTGACTCCTGGCTCTGTGCTCAGGGGTCACTCCTGGTGGGCTGGGGGAACCAAACCCATGTCGCTCCGCCCCCCACCCCGTTCTTATTTCCTCTGTGTTCTTCCAGGAAAATTCTATGCCACGCAATTATGCCTTTTACTACCCCCAGCCCCCCACTATGCCCCCCACTGGGGAGGGGGCACCCCCAGTGGCGCTCAGGGTCCGCTCCTGGCTCTGTGCTCAGGAGGGAGCCCTGGGGTCCATCCATATGTGGTCCAGGGACTGGCCCAGTGCCCGCCCAGAGTGGCTGCACGCTGTCAGGTGCCGTAGGTCCTGCATTCCCTGCACCTCCCACACCCCGTTTTTCTAGCCCGGTGA